GCAAAGGAAGCAATGTCTCTCTCCTCCTAATTAGTCTTCCTCTAAAGTATGGGAAATAGGTTTTGACTTATACACAGCTGCTGCATAATGCTATTATTTCAGAAGAGACCTCTCAACATCTAAAAATAAATTGCTCTTGAATTCCCAAACGAAGGTCTCGATTTGTACAAGAGCAGTGTGTGTGTGTGTGTAGCCCTGGGCAGATATTTGTTGCATGTGGAAATGGATGCACAGAGGGAGGTAACCCTCGACAAATTATGTGTCGAATCCTGTACACCAAGGGCAAGGAGGGAAGGGCAGAGCCACTGAGATCATCCAGATACCCTTCCATGTATTTATTTTTATATGAAATTAAATTTTGCACAAGGATTCCCTCTCTCTGTATTTGTGCAGCAGGTGCCTGAAGACTTTAGCTTGACTCCTGACTTCGGATCAGTGCAGCGTCTTGGTTGGAGTGCTGGACTGGGAACCCAGACATCTGCATTCTAGTCCCACTCAGCCACGAAACTCCTTGGGTGACTCTGGGCCAGTCACGGACTCTCAGCCTGACCTACCTCACAGGGCTGTTGTGAGGATAAGCCTGAGCAGGAGGAGGGGGCTTACGTAAGCCACTCTGAGTTCCTCGAAGTAAAAAAGGTGGGATATAAATACAATAAATAGTTAAAAATAAATAAATAGTGATCAGGCCACTGTGGGGCACACCCACAGATCAATGGGGGATATGCTGTAGATCAGGACACCCCCCAAGTCCAGTCTCTGCCATCTTGGGCTGGACGAACAGCTGGGAGAGACTTCTGCTTAGACTCTAATGGGTCTAGTCAGCAAGCCAGTGGACGGAGAGCTGGACGGATGACTCACACTTGCAAACCTCTTTTGCTCTGGATCAGGCGGCCAGGAGGAGGCACTGTTGAAGGTCCTTCCTCCTGGTTCTCTGGCTAACTGTGTGTCAAGCCAGCAGTTGCCATGATGGGCCAAAGGAGAAGGGGCCATTGCTGCTGATGACAAAGGCAGCAAGAAGGTGGCCCAGTAGAGGTGTCCTGCCCAAAGGTTATACCCTTTAAATACTTCAAATTAAATCACAGCACTTCACATCTAAAAATCCTCTTTGAGGAAGGCACCACAAATGATAAGGCCTCCTTCCTGTCTCCATCTGCTTGACTTCATTTCTGGAGGTTCCCAGAAAATGACCTAAGGGTCATTTAAGGTCAGAGGCACTCACAAATCTTTCATGGTGGAATGTGTAGATTTGTCCTTGATGTGAAGAAAGTCGAACCCGAGACAGTTCTCTTTTTCCTTCTAGAAGACAGTGGGGTCATCCCATGAAGTTGATTGCTGGGAGATTCAGGACACATAAAAAGACAGACTTCTTCATGTAGTACATAGTTACATCCTGGAATTCCCTTCCACAGGTTGTAGGATGCACTCAATTTGGGATGGCTTTCAAAAGGGACTGGAGAAATTCATAGAGGACAAGGCGCTCCATGGCTGCAAGACCAGATGGTCTCATGCTGTCTCTAGGATCAGAGACAGTATGCCTGCGTGCCCCAATTGCTGGGGAATATTGGTAGGAAGGTGCTGTTGTGGTCATATCCTGCCTATGGGTTTCCCACAGGCAACTACTTGGCCATTGTGCAGACAGGATGCAGGATGAGATGAGCCTGGCCTGATCCAACTTAATGTTTTTATGTCCATGTGCGCTCGCTCATCTCTCCCTTTCTCAAGGGATTTATTGTCCTGAAAGCCAAAATTGCCCCCTCCTCACCCCACACTCTTTCTGTGTCTCTTCCTCTCTCTCAAGGTGAAACCGTGCTCAGGCTCCTCTTTCCCCGGAGCTGAAGGGAGAGCTGCTTAGAAGTTCTTCAAAGGCGTTACGTGCTGTAAATCGGCATGCCTGACAAGCCATCAACATTAGCATTTTTATTAGCAGTAGTTCTGCTACTTTCCGCAGGATGAAAGCTGCTAGGTCAGGAGGAGCGAGCGTGAAAAGCTTTCCTCCAAGAGGTCGACTGCTTCCAGGATCCACAGCACATGACGGAGCTGGAGAACACAGCCCTGCTTAACCAAACGTTGGTCAAGATCTCATTGAAAGATGAACCCCATGAAATTCTTTGCCTTGTCTACAATAACCTCTTCCAACCTGATGCCCCCCAGATTTTGGACTACAACTCCTATTAGCCCCAGCCATTACGGCTTATGGCTGTGGATAGGAAGCAGCAAATTAGGGAAGGTTTGTCTCAGTAAGAATACAGAAGTATCAGACATGTATAGCAGATGGAGGTTGATCAGACTGATGCCTCTTGGATTGATGTTTCCAGAAAGCAAATGAAGGACAGAGGCCTTCAAATGCCTTCCTTCAAAGAACACATCCCTGCATGCAGAAAAATAGAGTATCAGGGAATCATTTTCCTTTCTCCAGCCATGAGCTTGAGGAGCAGCCTTACCTTAGACAAGCATATGATGAACCGCTGCTCCATGCAAATAACCATTTTCAGGGCAAGGAGAGAGTGGAGGCAGAATGAGGTGTGTGCCTGGGGTGGGCGGGGGCAATGCTTGCCAGGTTTTTTCCAGGCATTTACACATCTGGGGTGTCAGACATGAAGGCCAAACATAATTCTCTCAGGAGCTGCATTCTGGCATTGGGCAAAGCCAGAGGCAAAGGGGGACAGGATCCAAACTCCAGAAGCACCAGCTTATTTTGCACTGCCAGCAACTAAGCCTCAGGAGCAGCATTTCTACATACACTGAAGCCACCAAATGGCCACTGGGCAGTGCAAAGGAGGCAGCGACCATCTGACAAACCTCGGAGGGCCAGATTTGGGTTACAGGGCTAGGGTTCAACACCATGGTATGCATATTTATTCAGATGTGGCCACCTTGAAATCAATGGGGTTTAGTCTCCCGTACAGGAACACAGAACTGCAATGCAAATTCAGGTATCCCTGTGTTGGGACCACCAAAATACTGCACTGCCAAGACCAATAACCTTTGGGTTATGGGGTGGCATAGAAATGGAAATAGATTAATACTGCACCAAATAACATTATATCAAACTGTGCCAAAATTTGAAGACCATGAAACTGTGGGGAATTTAACACAGAGCCAGATTCACTTCCCATTTGCAGGCAGCAAAGACGAGGGAGCACCTTGAGGATCTTTGGGAGTGAATGGAGCACGAAATGCACCCACCGTGGTGGTGCACAGGATCCTCCGGGCAGCCCTAGACTCACAGCCATTGATTTTCCTTCCAGCTTCCTACCTTTAAGCAAGGGTAGGCCATTATTCCAAGACCATTCTGAGGAAAAATGGTAGCTATGTGCCTGTGAGCTGCTGGCCGGCAGGGCATTACTTTCCCCTCCACAGTACACCCTCAAAGTTCTCCTGGTAGTCTTCCCAACTGGGTGCCTATCAGCTGTTTTAGACTACACCTCCCAGCATTCCTCACTGTCAGCCAAGATGGCTGGGGAGCTGAAACACAAAGCCTCCAGAAAGCAACAGGTTGGGGGAACCTATAGAAGTATTCCAAGGAGGATTCTGGGAAAGGAATGCAAATCATGATGTAAGCTAGCAAATCTTAATGTGGCCTTGCATGGCATAGGATATCATGAAAATGTATACTTTTAGATGGTCTACATAAATTTTGTTAATACATAAATAAACATAATTTTTTACTCAGGCAAGTTTGGAGGGCAATATGGTGACCCTTAGTTATCAAGTTACCAAGACAACTGCAGCTGTCAGTGCTGTGAAATGTTTGGTTGCTATGAAATAAGGCAAGGAAGGGAGAAAACTGTTCTTGACTCCTGTTTGTTCCAATCTTTCAGTCAAAAGTTCTCAGGGGATAACTCTTGACTTAAGTCTCAGTTGAGTTTCCATGACTTTTGCAGGACTTTTGCAGGACTTTTGCATTCTTTTTATTTTAATGTTTCCTGATTTGCCTGAGGGTCAAACTACAAACTGAGGACAAGGAAACTCCGGTGAGGACTACCTGTTCTTATCCCCAGTTCTGATTGCCAGAATTAAGTTCTCGGTCACTCATCATGGAGATTGCAACAACTTTTGACTCAAGGGGGTTGATCTAGTGTCTGCTTCCTACAAGCAGCTGAGACTTTCTGTCCACAGAAGGTCCTTGCAGCTGGTTTTGTATCTCTCCCCACTAACCCAGCTCACCTACTAAGAAGGTTCTCTTGACTCTTTGTGTAGGGTTTTCAGGAGGCTGGAGTGGCTACCATGGAAAGAACGGGACACAGAAGTCCGCTTCCATCAGTGTAGCTGATCCAGTATAAATCTGGATACAACCATTTTAAACCTTTTAATTTCTATGTTGATATGCTTTCCTTTACCATAAGCACAATCAGGGCTTTTTTTGTCATAGAACGCACCAGAACGGTGTTCTGGCACCTTTTTCGACAGATTTTTCCACGTGATTTTGAATCGCCCTGTTGGGCGTAGCAGGTTGGCGGCAAAATCATTAAAATAGTGCCTGCAGGCTGCTTGTGTGTCCGCGCTGGTTGTGATGACACTGCTCGGCTTGGGATGCTGCTCGGCTTGGGATTGGTTGTGTGGTCACGCGCTGAGTGCTTACTGCGGGCAGCAACCATTATGTTTCATTACACAGTGTTGGTGTGTGTAGAGTGACTGGCTACGTGCAAAAGGTAAATAATTTCTTTATTTTAAAAAAAGTTGGCGAATTGAAAATCTTTTAATTTTTAGTGTAAAAGTGTGACCCCAAATTTAAAAATGAAAAAAATTACTAATTACCCTAAAAAAAAACCCTAAATAAAAGATTAATAAGATGTGAGTTCCGGCACTTTTTTTTTTTTTTTTTTTACAAAAAAAGCACTGAGCACAACATTGAAAAAGGGTGGAGGCTTGTGCATACATGGACGTGCAATAAATCAATAAAAGCTTGTGGTAAAAAAAATTAAACCATATTTTTATTTATATATTTATTTTATATATAAAAGAAATTAAAAAAGAGAAACACAAAGAAAGATGCAGGCTTATGGCAATTCAGTTTGGTCAGCGCCCTCTGCTGGAGCTGCTGACTCTGGTCCTCCAGAAGTTAGCAAAGTCCGCCGGTTGTAGTGACTCTTTATGATCCCAGAATTGTTGTTCTCATTCAAGATTTGCTTCTGTTTTTGCCTGTTAAGAGACTGTACAAGCCCTAATACAACAGCAGCTAAGGAATACTGCCCGGTCAGTTTTCTTGGTTGCAAGATTAAAGGGTTTGGCTGTACTCTTCCCAGAAGAAAGTAGGTTTTGATTTTGCCTTCTTGCTCGCTGATGCCTTTGACATAGATCTCTCCCCGGTAGTCAAAGGCAAATCCCCGGTCCTTCAGGATGAGATATGTTTCCTCGGGCACCTGCATTCGGCCACTGATACCAGTGCTATCCATTCGGCTAGCTAAGTTAACTGTTTTGCCCCAGATATCATACTGGGGTTTCTTAGCACCAATGACACCAGCTACGACAGACCCGTGGCTGATACCTAGAGAAGGAAGAGAGAAGAGAATGCTGGAAGAGTAGCTTGTGACTTCAAAGACTTCAAAGGCTTCTGCTACACATTAAGAGCTAATCAATATTCTGTGCTGTCCCTCCAAGTTCTACAAGTGGTGACAACTCCAGGTATACACACACGTTTCCAAGGGCATTGGTGTCAATGAAATTCAAAAGCTGGAAGACAGGGGCCTGGGATCCACCAGGAAATTTCCCACAATGCCTGAGAGCAATGTTACATTGGGGCATTGTGGTTAATTTGAATGGTGATTCCATTGAATGGAGCCTACCACTGAATGGAGCCTCTGGGTGGCCCCTTGAAGTAGAAAGGAGGTGTAATATTGTCAGAGGCCCCGAGACTCGGAGCTGGTCCTAAGGAAGTTCATCAGGAGAGCTGGAGGGAGGTCTCCACCATTCGGCTGCTGCTGTGGCGATTTACCCTTAACTTGGCTGCTGAAAATACCTCTGTCCTTCCAACTGGGTGGACAGAGAGAGAGGAACACAGTGTACAAACGAGAATGGGGACCTCAAACAAAGGATCGACATATATCTACAAAGAAATGCTGAGAGGCTCACTAGCTACAAGTTCAATCATTAAAAAATGTTAATATACCCGTGGGACAGACAGTGTGATATGGCATCTAGAATCATTTAGAGGTTTGGAAAGAAGGCCCGTTATGATCTTGCTGGGACTATATTCACATATGGCTGAGCTGTAATCTAGCCGTGTATATATATGTATACTGGAGAATCTGTATCATTGCATTATTGTGAGAGGCTGCATTCCACAGATGGTGCTTCCTTGCTTACAAAAATGTACTTCAGGGAAGACAGCGCTCTGAGGCTTCATGGGGCTGCACATGCCATGCTGTCCTTTCTATTGATGCAAAACTTGCTTGCTGTGGAGAAGCACCAAGATCGCACCCCTGGAAGTTGGCATCGCCATAGTCAAGTGGTCAGCCACACCTACCAATGCGGAGTTCGAAGTTGTTAAAAGAATGCTTGTTGATCTCTTGAATGCTTTCATTCAGCGCAATGGAGAAATCTGCCAGGGCGCATAAATGGCCCCATTTATCTTCACACTGCTGAAAGAGGAATGAAACAGAAAAAAATGTGCGTATCAGGCCTCTGTCAGCTGGAAGAAGGCATCTCCATCAGTGTCATAAAAGCAGTTCCAGCTCCCTGCCCACTGGGGCTGATCGCAGCCGTTTCTTAAAGACGGGAGGAAGGTCAGCCTTTCTGTCAGCAGAGCATGGATTGTGCATCAGGGTGGCTCACTGTGGCATTCTGTGGGATTTGGTGCCTCTGTGAGTGCAAGGAGGAAAGAAATGCTATGTGTGGCCGCACTGTGAAGAAGCTCCGTGGAAGCCACCGCGCCCGCCCCCCCCCCAGCATTTGTGGATTTCTGCTCATGCTCAGCCTGGTTCTGGGAAGCGAGCTGAGAGGAAGTCCACAAACACTTGCAGAAGGAAGATTCTATCCCCAGCAACCTTCTTCCATGTTCTGTGGAGCAGAACAAAGGCAGATTCAACAGATTCCCAGGACTCCAGCCTGCTTTGTCACAGCTGGGAACTGAGCCCTTCTCAACCACCATGCAAGTGGTGTTTCCCTTGCACATCATGTGATGTAGCCTTTGTTTAGGTTGCTGCACACGATGCAGAAGGAAGTTGCTGGCTGTGCAACCTTCATTCCATGAGTGTTTGAGGACTTCCTCTTAGCTCAGCTCACTTTCTAAGAGTGGGCTGAGCATGAGAGGAGAACTTCTCCTTCTGCAGAACTTCATCACAATATTATTTGCGGCATTTGGCAATTAAGTTTGCAACACAGGGACAAGGTGAGGAGTAGAGGTTCCATTGTGCTGTAGGATCTTGACAGACGTCTTTCTCGCCTGCAACCCGATTCTTTTAACTGGAGATGTGCAGGGTTGACTTTCTGTATGCAAGGCATGTGCCTTACCCTGGAGCCTGGCACCTCCTCCCACGACTCACGTTTGTCATGACACAGTCTGAATCGGCAACAGCAATCCGTACCTTGGCTAGATCTCGCCTCAAGTACGAACATGGAGCTCTACCTAAAGAGGGCCCAGAAGCTTCAGCTGGTGCAAAATGAGGCAGCTAAACCAGGCTGCTCACTGGAAAACAGTATCACAGCCATTTCACACCTGTCTTGAAACACCTGAGCTGGCGGCGCGTTGCTTTCTGGACTGACTGCAACACGCCTGGCTTTAATATTTAAAACCCCAAATGCATTTGTTGTTATGTGCCACCAATTGTCTTTGACTTATGGTGACCCTGTGAATGAAGGCCCCCCCAGAACATCTTCCTCTTGTAAATTCCCAGCGGTGGCTCCCCTTTTGGAGTCAATCCATCTCCTCTTCCTCCTCTTCTTCAACTTTCCCTAGCATGATTGTATTCTTGCCTTCTCATGATGTGCCCAAAGTTACAACCTCAATTTTGCCATTTCTGCTTCTGGGAAAGTTTTGATTTGATTCAGTCTAGGACCCATTGGTTGGCCTTTCTGTCAGTCCAGGGCCTGGCCACCTAAGGGGCCACCTGCCTCATAACCTGTCTGGTCATTTACCACCTGTCTGGTAACCTGCAGGAGAAACTCCATCAGGGAGCCACTACCTGCAGAGGCCAGTTCGCAGGGCATGCCAGAAATTGCTCCCCAACTATGAAATATGCTCTCTCCAGAACTACAGCTGACCACCACATGCCTGGCTTTTAAGAAGAGTGTGAAGATACTCCTGTAAAATTCCTTCCCAAAGGAAGCCAGATTTGTTCCTTTCTGCTACCCTTCCCCTTGCAGGAAAAGCCTGATTCAACAAGCTTTTTGGCCTGTAAGTGGGTCTGTTGGGTTGAGTGCTGTTTTTAATTCTTAGTTTTTAATTGCTCTCCCTTAATTCTTATGTCTTCATTGTAGTATATTATTCAGTGGCTTAAATCAATTGCACCTTAAAACAACAACAACAACATTCTTTAAACTTTGCAAGTATGTCATTTTTATGTTTTACTGGGTTTAATAAACTTGTTTTTCATCTTTTATATCACTATATGCTGTGGTGAAAGCTTTTTAGCAAGTAATGCGATATGCGTTAATAATAAATACATTTCAGTGGGTTTACTCTGAGCATAATTGAGTCTGGATCCAAACCAGCAAGGTATTATGAGCAGAAGTTCTGCACTTATTTATCTTTTATGATGTAGCCAAGCTAACTGAGGAAAAAAGTATGTTATATCCCAGCAAACAACATTTTATGTGTGCACTTATATAAAATCTGCATCTGTCACCAATTGCTTTAGAAAGGTGAATTTGACAAATGCATTATCAAGGTTGCTCTTGCTGTTGGCTAACAGAAATAACTCCCTTACCTGTTTTTCAGGAGATAATCCTGATACAGCCATGTATGTGCTGCCAATGGTTTTAATTTTTTCGATGTCTTGAAATCTCTCTTCACCTAATAACTAAAGACAGGAGAGATCCTATTAATTCGTGCAGCTTTTCTAAAAGGGGCTTTTGAATCAAGTTCATCAGATGTTGCACAGTTACTTAACAGTTATTTATGTTCATCATTTGCAGTCTGGAAAATATTAATTCAGCAGTGTTTTGCACAATGGACAATACTTAGTTTTTCACATCTTTGGTATAATGAACTGTGAATGTGGTTGGCTTTATCTGCTTTTTAGTAATTCCACAGTGGATCTGGAGAAACCGATTACAAAATAGCAATCAGCAATTGGGAACAAATTCAATACATAATCAAATTCATTTTATTATGTGGACATGACATTATGTGGTTGGCTGATGGAATTGAAGAAAATGCTGCCATGTTTGCATTCACACTTATACTGCAGTTAAGGATGGATGGATCTGTACGTTCCACCTTTGGCAATTTTCACATCACTTTGTGAGAAGTAGAAGATTACTGTGACTAACAAACTAGAACAGGTAAAGCTATGGATCACTTAGTGATTAATAAAGGTATTGTGATTGACGGACTAGAACAGGTAAAGCTATACAGATCACTTAATGATTAATAAAGATATTGTGTTTAATACAAACTAATAGACTACAAGATGTAATTGGTAGACATGGCATTAAACTTTTGAACTTAGAACCCAAAGTACGGCTGCATAATTAGCTAATGCATATTAGTGGTGCCCCCTGCTATGACTCAGAGGGTTATTAACATGAACATGGGACGTATGAGCAGGTGGGGGTAACATACCAAGGAGTAGTATGATGAAGGCAGACAGGAAGAGTGTGAATTCCCAGCATCCCAGCCAATGGGAGAAAGGAGGCAGGGACTTTGCGCGTGAAGTAGGGAATAAGAGGCTGTGTAAACTGCTCCCCAGTGCACTACGTTCGGGGTGAGTGCCCGGTCTGGCCAGAACGTATTGAACTGTTGCTGCTTGGTACTTTGCCTCCCGTATCGTCATTGCTTGGATTTCATTCCTTACAACTTGAAGGTGATGGGCAGGGTAGGAGAAGAAGGGAGTGCCACTTGCACCGTTTTCCCACATTGCAAACTAGTTGGGCAACTTAGCCTAAGTGTGGCATCTGAAAGCTGAAGCCCCACTAGGATACTTCATGCCACAGCAGTGCTAGTCTGCAGCATTGTGCTCAGTTTTGGGCCCCTCATTACAGGAAGGATATAGCCAGGTTAGAGTCAGTGCAGCGCAGGGCCACAAGGTTGGTGGCCGGTTTGCAGGGGATGCCGTATGAGGCGAGACTGAGGGAACTGGGTCTCTTCAGCCTGGAGGAGACCCAGAGGGGATCTGTTGGCGACATACAGGTATGTGAGGGGGTGTCACACGGAGGTGGGTAGAGACCTGTTCTCCCCTGCAGAGGAAGGCAGGACGCGCTCCAATGGAGCAAATCTCAGGGAACCAAGGTTCCATTTAGATGCCAGGAAGCACTTCCTGACAGTCAGGACCCCAAGGGTGTGGAATGGGCTTCCATGGGAGGTGGATGAGGCCTCATCAGTGCGGGTGTTCAAGGATAGGCTGGACGTCCACATGGTGGGCATGTCATGAGTGGAGCTGGCTGGACCAAGGGGTCAGACTAGATGGCCCAGGAGACCCCTTCTGACTCACTCAGTTTCTGTGTTTCTATGTAGTCCTCTTCTTGTCTTGCCCCCAGAATGGTCACACCACCTCCTCTCCAACGTTGCGTTTATTTATCTTGGAGAAGCAGCCAGCACAGTCCTTTCCATATGGCTGTAAGCAGCATCGCTGAGCTCAGAATCTGTGCCTCTTGCATCCACGGACCTCCTCTTGCGCTTGGCCTGCTCCCGCAAAGCAAGCTGAGCCAAGAGGAAGTCCATGAATGCTCACGAACCCCCCAGTTGTGCAACGGGCAACCTTCCCCACTAGCAGCAGAGTCTGCGAGTGGGTGGGTGCACCAGGCACCTGTCCCAGGGACCGGTCTGCTTTGCCAGCAACAATGCGTGTTGGAACAGGCACATGGCACTTGATTCCTTCAAGCGCCCCATGGATGTTCATTGGGAACCTCGACTCAGAGCTGCTGCAAAGCAGGGCAGAGTCCGGGGTGCTGAGCCAGGGAATCTGATGGATTTCCACCCCCAAGCAGATCCCCCTCACATCCCTACTTGGTGTGTGCACACACATGCGCACACACACAGAGTACCAAAGCATATATAAAAATGAGTATTTTAGTTTAAATGTGTATAAAATGCAAATTTAGCTTAATGCAAACAAATGGCATATGTTTCAATGCATGCACTAGTGCATATTTTAGGTTAAAAAGTATACAAATCATAAATTTAAAATGGACATATAAATGTGTCTCTTAGGATCAAAGACTTACTAGAATGTGTATTTTGTTTCGAGAAAGTTAAAATACTGCACATTTTAATGATGTTTTAAAAAGTATGGCAGTGCTGTGCAGAATATCATAATTCATTTATATTTCTCTCTACTGCTAAATGTACCCAGAGCAGCATACAGCATAGTTATAAAACCATATAATGTCACCAATAAAAATGCAAATATAAAAACAGTATCTGCAAGCAGTAACCATATGCCACCCATATTTAAAACAAAGGAGCATCAACAAGACTAAAAGAATAAAAGGGGCCTAGTACATTAAAATGAGGAATGAGAAAAGGAAGAGCAGGTTCAAAAACATGTAACGTGATGGGCAGCCAGTGATGCCGTTATATGCATCCAATGCATATAATGTTCCTATATGCACCTTTCCAACTTCCATTCTGTTCTACCCGACACTCTCCACATTGAGTGGATTGCCCAACATGCACTACCAAGAACTCACTTGGGAGACATCTTAGCAAGGCATTCCCACAACATCCTTCAGCCCTCTGCTCTCTTCCCTGAGGGGTTCCTTCAGTGCCAATTATTCTTTTTACCTGTCACTGCAGTCTCCTTGCAACCTGGCACCTCCTGGATGTGTTGGGTGCCAACTTCCATCAACACTGCTGCCTGCAGATGATGGAAGTTGTAGTCAAATGCACCAGAAGGTCTCTCAGTTGGAGAAGGCTACCCAACAGCAAAGCTAGGAACGTGTAGAGATTTCATGTTTTTCCTGGCAGACACGAGAAGATGTTTTTGGGGATTCAAGATAAATTCCTTCTGGTTCACAATTTTCTTCCCCTGTTTCCAGGAATCTTAAGTGTCAAGTGGGCACCCATCAGCCAGAGGATGCTCCATGTAGCCTTTTCCAACCATTTGACGGGATCTCGAATCCCTCAATGTCCATAATGCAAGGAGGCTGTTCCATCACTTATGTCACATATTTCAACTCTTCAAGCAAGTCTTTGATGAAAGACTTGCATGAGAAGCTGGAGTGATTAAGAAGGCCTGCTTGGATAATCTTATTTTTTATTTATTTATTAAAACATTTCTATGCCGCCCCTTGCCGAAGCCTCGGGGCGGCTTACAACATCTAATAAAATACACAATGGATTTGCCCACAGTGGATTGTCCTGTCTAATGCTACAAAACACTAAATGCTTAAATACTAGAAGGAGCGTGGACTCGGGTCTGCCTCTTCTTCGAAAGCAGGGTGGTCAAACTCTTCGTACCTCGAAGGCCGCGTGAGGACTTCAGCACGGAGCCTGGAGACCTCCTTCTCTGATCCCAGACCAAGCACCATGACTGCTCCTCTGGGGTGGCCCACCCCTTTCTTCCCTGTTTCTCCTGCCCAGGAACCTGCCCATGTGACCCCCGCCCCCTGTGGCCTCTCCTTCCTTCTTGGAATTGGCATGCACAAAGGCAGCTGGAAGGGTGCAGGGCATGCTGGGGCAAGCTCTGGCGAGGCTGCCTGAGCCTCACACCTGTGCCATCACAGACCGTGGGGGATAATGGTGTGTGGGGGGGGGCTCTGAGTGGCAGAGGGCCGCCTGTGGCCCATGGGCTGTTTATTGGACCACCCTGTTCTGCAGGCTGCACAGGTCTGGATCGAGGTGCCCAGATTTAGAATATCGACTGGGGTGGTAATTGCACATGTGTAAATAAGGTGGTGTGCCTCCTGCTCTGTCTCGAAAGGAATTGTGCAAATGTTCGCTACATCCACAAGAGCAGGCCGTGGAGTCAGAAGGTAGGCAGCACTTTGCAGAGGGCAGGCACCAAAATGAAACGAAATGCAAGATGCAAACAGGAAGGAAGGAAGGAAGGAAGGAAGGAAGGAAGGAAGGAAGGAAGGAAGGAAAAGGTGATAGCTTCAGTAGCATTTTTGTCTTCTCAGTTCTTCAACAGGGTACCCAGCAGTTACACTCTGTTGCAGCTGTCAGTCAGGAGTGTTGCCCTGGTCAAAACTGATCAGCCGGGTCCCCACTTGGCTTCTCAGGGAGGCCACGCTCCTCCCCTTGTTCCCCACTCCTTTCCCTATAGTGGATTATTGGGAGACTTCCTAGCTCTGTGCCCTTCTGAAAGGTCGAAACACCTCTCTTCAGGTTTAGTTGCTGGCATGATGGCCTTTAGGCTGAGGCTTGCTGGTATTTTTCACCCTACCCCACCGCAGCATGGCCTGCCAGAGCTTCTTCAAAACTAAATAGGATCCTTAGTCTCAGAGAGGTCTCCAACCCCGTCTGAGGCTCATAGCACTCCCTATGCTATGCTATGCTAGTTGCAAAATCGAGTCTGACCCATCGTGACCCCCTGGACAACATTCCTCCAGGCCTTCCTGTCCTCCACCATCCCCCGGAGTCCACCTAAGCTCACGCCGACTGCTTCAGTGACTCCATCCAGCCACCTCATCCTCTGCCATCCCCTTCTTCTTTTGCCATCTATTGTTCCCAGCATTAGGCTCTTCTCCAGGGAGTCCTTCCTTCTCATTAGGTGGCCAAAGTATTTGAGCTTCATCTTCAGCATCTGGCCTTCTAAAGAGCAGTCAGGGTTGATCTCCTCTAGGACTGACTGGTTTGACTGCCTTGCGGTCCAAGGGACTCGCAGGAGTCTCCTCCAGCACCACAGTTCAAAGGCCTCAATCCTTCAGCGCTCAGCCTTCCTTATGGCCCAGCTTCCACAGCCATACACTCCCTAGATGTGTCCCTATCTGGGATGAGCGGCGCCTGCTTGCTTAACCCATGTGTGCCTTTTCCTCACCTGAACTCCACTGAATGCATCATCACTTCCTACAACAAGGGACTTTGCCTGGACTGGCTGTTGGGGGAGCTATTTCCCACCAGGTTAGACTAGCTCAACTTCATCTATCCTGACTGGAAGCAGCTCTACAGAAGTTCTTCCCAACATCTCCTACCATATCCTTTCAGCTGGAGATGCTAGAGCAAACATGGGACTGTAAGTGTAAAAGGGACTGTGCTGTACCACCGGCACAGGGCCCCTTCCTCCTTTCCAGCACTTCTCTCCTTCTCCATTTACCCACTGTCCTGAAGAGCGGATGCTTGGGGACCCTCACCGCAGCCTTCTCCAGCTTGCTGCCTTCTGGATGTTTCGGACTTCACCTCCAAATGGTTGGAGTGCTTGGAGTGGTTGTCCAAAACATCTGGAAGACAGCAGACAGCTTTAGGGGGCACTAATTTTAGGAAGATGAATGCTTTCTTATCTACAGCTGCACAGACACATGAAAAGGCATGTTACTTTCGACAAACTGTAGGCAAAGGTATTTCCCCTGACATAGTTACGAAAGCTATCCTTTGGCTGCAGTTCCTGTCCCTGATAGGTTATTCTTTCACTTCCTGGAATTAAACACGTGTCACTTAGATTTTCTGCTCCTCATTACACCGCAACCTAAAGCTTAACACAGGGGATGATATTCACTTGCCTCTTCCAATTTGCAGGATCCCTCCCAGCTTGAAAATCAAGTAGAACAGTGCAAATTTACTTTATATGCAAGACTAGATTTTATTGCTATCTCTGTTAGTTCATCAAACACGGAGAGAACAGCTTTTGATGAATGGAGGATAAGCACCTTGCTAATTTAGCATGCTCTCTGACTCCAAGCTGTGCCTCTAAACCATCTATTGGAATGACACTGCAGTCTTTCCTACACTCAAGGTCACTGTGGTCGTGCCCAGAATGCAAGAGCTGGAATTCTTAAAGTGCGCTTGGCAGGATTGCTTAAATCTGTGGATTGTGTCTGGACATTTGTCATGTCCCGCAAATGAGGCTGCAGTGCTAAAATATTTTTAAAAACCCGCAACATGCATAATCTCCATTTGTGGTAGGATAATCAAGACCACGTAAGACATTTGACTTCATGCCTCCTGCACACAAATCTTTGCAGGATCAAAGCGAGAGAGAAATGATCCTTGAAAAAGAGCTAGTGCATCTCACAGAAATAATGATATTGGTATTATCTCAGGTGGGAGATGAAAACGAAACAGAGCAAGTAAGAAGATATTGAATAAACTGAATGAAAAAATGAGATCTTACTAGCGGCGATGGTGTGTAGAGTTCTGTATCACTTCTAGCCCCCATCGCCTTTGACACCAATGACTTTCTTCCTACGATTTCTACACCAAATGGGATACCAGTGGGAAAAGCTATTTGGGTATTCTGGACAACAGAAACCTACTTAGGGATGGCCTCAACTCAGATGGCCTGTGGAATTAGAATTTCAGAAATTCCAATACAAATCCACCTGAGTCACACATCTCAGACTAATGTGCAGAATGGAATTTGTATGCAAGTGCAATCTGATGTACACTTACATGGAAGCAAGTCCCATTGAACTCCACGGAAGTGACACCTGTGTAAACTTGCTTAGGAATGTGTGATTTTCTTTCTTCTTGCCTTTTCCAGCATAGTTCTGGACTTAAAAATATGTGCCAACATACACATTTTGAGGGAGAGTATGTTTAAAATACTTTAAAGTGTATTCAGTAAGGACTTTAACTCACTTAAATGTAAATTTTAGTTTCTCTCTCTGTGTGTGTCTCTCTCCACACACACACACTTAAAGGAGAAACATAGTTTAATGTGGAAACAAGATGGAACACATGAGAAAGTGACACCGATCCACATGATTCAGCCATCCTTTGTCTCTTCTTTCAGAGAAATCAAGTGGTGGCTCGTGCGTAAGTTCCTGGCTTATGGCAGGGATCAGATGGCCCAGTGTGGCCTTGATGGGCTGAATTACAAGGAGGTTGATTGCTGTAGAAAGAAGAAGGCTCTGCTCTCTTGAAGACGGTCTCCCTAGATGATTTCTCAAATTCTGAGGAGGCTGAGGGACGGAGGTTGGCAGTCGACTGGGAAGTGTCAAGGTTATCTAGTGGAGATTCTCAGGCAGAGCAAGAGAGCCAACCTGTCTTGGAGATGGAGGGAGGTATTTCAGACCTGGTGGGAAGCAGATAGAGGGGGAATTCCTTGACTCTAAGACTGATGACAGGTCAGGCAAGCAGAACAATTAGGATGTTTCCACCATCAAGCCCTCAAGCAGCGGGAGACACCCTGAGAGTGCAGTCTGAATCCTTCTGAAAGTCAAGGCAGGGAAGGGAGGGACGTTTCACTTCAGAGTTGGCACTTCACCTGGGCAAAATTTCACATTTCAAAGAGAACAGTGCCTTGCTCTCTGCTGTTTTGCAACCTGCAGAGCACATAACGGATGGTGTTTGTACAGTTTCATCTAAGTCTGCTGCAGAGGGAAAAGCAGGGAAGGGTTTTGCTCATGGCAATAGCCCACGTTGTTGGGAATGTTCCCTCCTCAGATATGCTCGTCGCTCAAGTAGGATGTTCCTAGCCTAGTGAGGATACACGGACAACGTGCTTCACATTCATACTTCTTCACACCAGCATGGTGAGTCGTATGGCTAGACAGAACTACAGCACAGATGCAGGCTGGGCACAAGGAAGGACTTCTGAACTGTCGGAGCAATACAGCAGTGGAACCAGTTGCCAAGAGAGATTGTGCGCTCCTTCACACTAGAGACATTCAGGAAGAAGCGAGGCAGTTACCTGCATAGGATGGTGTAACTGGCAGCCTGCCCCAACAGGGGGTTGGACCCGATGGCCTTCTTGGCCCCTCCCTCCCCTATGATTGTATGGCAAGGTGGCAAGCTCGGGTCTGTCTGTAGACCCTGCCTCGCTGCCTTGTCCTACCGGGCTAGCACAGATCTTTTCTGTCCAGCCAGAGCCTCAGAAGAGAAGAGTGTGAACATCCTGTGAACTATACCACAAACAGAAGTGGGGAACAAAAAGGCAGGAAAGGGAGAGGGAACAGGGGCAGGGGTGGGTGAGCAGATCTGAGGGCACGGGCAAGTTTGCAGAAGGTTGCCACTTCCTACTGAGCCAAATTCAAGCAGGACCCCTGCTTCCCATTCTATGCACACCTACTTGTGTTTTGTCTTGAGCTGATATATATTGCCACAATTAATTGACTGGTCCCTGCTGCTTCCTTTCATTTATTAGTGCTCCGAGCCACCTCTCGCTTGAGTCAATCAGCTGTGTCTCAAAATTAAAAACAGATTAGCAGCTAGCCAGGGACTGTATCACTTCATCTTGCTCTTTGGCTCCAGAATGATCTATTATATATCTCAAGATTTCAGAGTCACAACATTAGCCCCTAATTGGATCCTTTCTTAATGAAGCGGTAGGTGTTAGGTTGGCACTTTGCTGCTAGGTACCATGGTAACAGTCCACCAATATTGTGCTTACTTGCTCAAATGGGAGGAGTGGAAAGAGGATGGAAACCATGTTAAAGTAGAAACCATTTGGTTGTTTGTTAGGTGGATCATGGTAAAAAACTGAGAACCATGGCAATCACACACTGCTGTGTGAACACAGCCGCTGACTGAGTTGGTACAGGGTTTCCAACTTGGCCATCTGTTCCTTAACATTGTGAATTGGCCCACAGACATTGGTGCCATTATGGGCAGTCAAATTTAGCAGCCTCAGAAGGACTACATAAAAACATTGCATAAGAACCCAAGAAGAACCACGATGGATCAGACCAAGACGGAACAGATGATTAACACCATCTCTTTCCACCACCCCATCCTCTGGGAACGCACTTACTTCATCGAAGTCAGCAATGATTTCATTCAATAGGCGCAGGCACTCAACTCCTTGGTTGTTCATTTCAGTCTGGGAATAGAAGTCAGCAAAGCCAGGTATGGAAGCAAACATGACACCAACAGCATCATAGGACTGAGAATACAGCTCCTAGGGATACAGTGATGAGCAAAAGGAGTGGTGTGTTAGAGGTGACGGACCTTCTGTGACATTTTGTTCCCTGCAATTGACATTGCACATGATGCTGTAAAAGGAGGGCTACATATTTAGAGCTTGCTGATTCATTAGCCCTCTGTACCCAGATCCTACCAACAGTGAACGCTTGAGTGCTGCTTCTTATGCAGCCAAAAGGGCACCATCCATGCTGATAATTTACCAAAAAAATGCATCACTGGGAAGAAAACACCTGAATTGAAGGAGGCCCAAGCAAACTGCTACATACTGGGGACAGGTTGCTGAAAATTGTGTTGGTGGAATGGCGTATCCTGCAAAAGTAAAGACAAGGAATCCATCCTGTATCGCACTTTGTTGCAGGCCTCACTTGCGTAATCCATTCACACACATGAACACAAAAACAAGAAAATCTTTGCTGGATCAAACCAGTGGTCCATCCAGGTGAGCACTCCATCCACACGGTGGCAAGACAGCTGTCCACAGGGTCCCTTGAGCAGGGTGGGTGCAAGAGGAGTTTGATGGGTGGCCAAATTCCTCAGCAACGGGTGCAGGCGGGCATGCCACCCCAGCCATGGAGGAAGCACAGAGCTAGCAAGGCTAGCTGCACATGGCAAGTTGTATTCCAGTGCCATGGAGCTGGGAAGAGTTCTGGGAAGAGTCCAGCTGGGAAAATGGGCATAAAGTGTCCAGTGTGAACAAGCATAAACAGATGCATGTTGCGAAAATCCCAACTTCATGCACATGCTGATGGGGTCTGAACAAGCGACTGACCAAAAAAGCACCCTTAGGGTTCTGGTAGCCACCTTGATGCACCACTGTGTGGCTGTTGTTAGGCACATTTAGGAAAGGGATCAAAACTAAAACTGCCAGTATCATACTGCCCTCATACAAAGCTGAAGCAGAATCATGCTCCGAGAGGATATGTTGGCGACACACAGGTATGTGAGGGGCTGTCACACGGAGGTGAGGAGAGACCTGTTCTCCCCTGCAGAGGAAGGCAGGGCGCGCTCCAACGGAGCAAAGCTCAGGGAGCCAAGGTTCCATTTGGATGCCAGGAAGCACTTCCTGACAGTCAGGACCCCGAGGGTGTGGAATGGCTTCCACGAGAGGTCGTTGAGGCCCCATCGGTGCGGGTGTTCAAGGATAGGCTGGGCGTCCACATGGTGGGCATGTGATGAGCGGAGCCGGCTGGAGCTGGGGGTCAGACCAGATGGCCCGGGAGACCCCTTCTGACTCGTTCTGTTTCTATGTTTCTATGTGTACAGTTCTGGTTCATGCACCTAAAAGGGAAACCGTAGATTTGTGAAATGCATAGAAGAGTTCAGAAAAACATCCTATGCGTAAGGATTACAATATCTAGGGCTGTTTAGCTTACAGGAAAGGAAAGTAAGGGGAGGCATAACAAGTGTACAGAATGACTGAGAGAATAGGGAGGGCTCTTTCATAATACTGGGATGCAAGGGAGCCACCCCATGAAACTGACAGCTCGGAGTTTCAGGACAAATAAAGGAAGGATTTCTTCAAAAGCACATGGTGAAATGATGAATTCACTTCCATAAGCTGCAATTTGGAGGGCACTAAGAGGCGATGAGCCAAATTCAGGGAGGAGAAGCTTATTCATGGCTACTAGCACTGATGGATATGTGCTACCTGCAGTGCTATGGGCAGAATGCCAGTAGCTGGGGAACATGGGTGAGAGGGTTTTACTGCATACATCCTACTTGAGGGCTTCTCGCAAGCAATAGGTTGGCCAATATATGAACAGGATCTTGGACTAGATGGATGCTTGGTCTGATCTATCATGACCCTTCCTACAATGCCGTGCTATTTCCTCATGTAGCTCTACTTGCAGCTGCTAAATTTGGTCGCCCATAATGACTCCAGTGTCTATGGGCCAACTCACACTATGACAGAGAGAGAAAGAGAGAAACCCCCATCATAGGCATTATTCTCACGTAACCCCAGTCCTCCATCAGCTCCACTGGCTTCCCATCAAAGTCCGAGCTCAATTCAAGGAGCTGGTTATTACCTATAAAGCCCTAAACAGCTTGGGACCAGCATACCTAAAGGAATCCCTTTTTCCCTATTTGCCCTCCCACCCCCTGAGATCGGCAGCAGAAGCCCTCCCCCAGGAACCCTCTGTGAAAGACGTTAGGAGACAGAGCACCTGGAGGAGGGCCTTCTCTGCGGTGGCGCCCCGTCTATGGCATGCGCTCCCCAGAGAGGTCTGCCTGGCACCATCATTATATGTTTTTCGGCACCAGGTCAAGACCTTTTTATTTAATCAATATTTTAATATGTTTTAATATTGAATTTTATTGTTGTATTTTATTAATTTGCAGCCAGTGTGGATGGTCAATTTATCTATGTTGTAAGCCATCCAGAGATGCAAGTAATTGGACGTCATACAAATTTTATAAATAAAAAAAAAATAAAATAGGCGACCTAGGGCTTGTTTTGCTGGTTTTAACCCAAAAGGCATTGAGATGTTGAAACCCTAAGCAAACAGCTGACTAAAATGGCATAATGTTCCCTGCTCATTTCTTCGGAGAATAAAGAATTTAACTTCTTACATAGACATGAAGAATTATGAATGAGCCAGACAGCTGATTCAGAAATCCTCCGCAGGTATGATTACTCAATGAAAAGACTGGAGAGAAGAGGGATTATAGGAAAAGGTCAGAGGTGGTGTCTGTGAATAACAGTTGTAAATGGAAAACCACACACAGAGTCTAGCGAGAAGAGTTGTGGTTTAGAATAACAGTAGGCAATGCTCTAGGCAGAAAGAAGAAATCAGGAGGATAGTGAATGTTACGCTTCCAGGAAGGGTTCTCCACATTTCACGTCTCTGCAGGGAACCCTATCCCTCGTGACATTGTGCCACAAGAATGTTGCAGCCGCAAACACAATGCCCCCACCTTCCACGTTTCCTTGCGTCCTTGTTGCTGTCTTATTGCTTAGTGAGATTACTAGCACTGCTACTGTGCATGGAAAAATTATACTGTATGGTGCTCAGCCAGGCTCCCCTCCACAATACTCCATCCCATCCCATCCCTCCTCCCACCCCCCATCAGCTTTCCCTCCCATTGGAGATTACATTGATAACAGTGCAGATTCCTGCCCTTGTCTTTTTCTCAAGCCTCCAGAAGCCTGCAAGGCAAGGGAGGGGATTTGGGCATGGGAGACGATTTCTGGAGAACTCCAGCCCCTCACGAGTTGGCTGGGGAGGTTCCATGGGGAAGAGGCTCCCCACCCCTTAGAACATTGAGGAATTTGAATCCTGTAACTGCATGGATATTATGAGCACGAGATCTCAGAGCATGCGCAGAAGAGAACTCTGCATGCAGCCAGAGCTTTGCCCACTGTTTTCTTTTCAGCACTTCCCACCATTGAAAAGGCGAGTCCTTTAGTGCATTAACTCCAGAACAGAAGAAAGCCAGAAGGGAAGCTCCGACTGTTCCAAGAAAATCTCCTTCTTTAGGTGCTGGCCACAGTTAGGTCAAATCAGAACCAACATTTAACGTACTTCATTATCTCTGTCCTTTTCCAAGAAGTGTCGGGCCACGTGACTGGGCAGGATGTTGCGCAGCATGTTTTCATTGTGCTCTCTTAACTCCTTCATCTCATTGATCTCTTCTTTGGCTTGGCCACGCCACAGGAAGTCTAGCCTCGCTGTGTATTCGAGCTGAAGTGACAGGGAGAACACAATGAGATACAGTGTTATATACAGAGTTTCTAGATTTTTGACAAATGCAGCCAGTGCCCCACACCTAGAGCTCTTGGTGTGCATCATGCCAAATAGATGGTTGTTATTGTTGAACATCATGCTCTTGTTGCTGAAAATGGAGAAAAATGGGGGAATATATCCCTGGGTTTGGGGCGTGGGAGAATTGCTGGACTAGAAGAGAGTTCGGCGTCTGGTTAGAAAGTCAAAGGCATATAGCACAGAATCGCAGAAGAGTAGAGTGGGAAGGGGCCAGTGAGGCCGTCGGATCCAAATCTGCCCAGTGCAGGGCTGGAAACATTCACACACAGTTGCTGATAAACTAGTCATTTAGTAATTTTCCCCGTTGCCCATGCAACTCAAGACAATGGATATTCCTCATGACAATCCTGAGAGTTAGTTCAGGTTGAGAGAGAAAGAGGTGGAGGGGGGAGAGGGAGGGAGAGGGAGGGAGAGATAGACTCGCGAGCCTCTCAACTGGATTGTTGTGAGGAGCAAGTGACAGATGACTTACTCTCTCAAGTCACTCTCCTAAAGTTTGCTTTGTGCCTGAGCAAGGTTTTCACCCTCAGTCTCCCCAGGTCTATTTCCAGCTCTCTCCCACACCCTTTTGGAGCTTCAGATTAGAACTGGTGAGCCGTTTCCCATGGAGAAGTTGGTCATTGCTGTGCCTGCCCATTGGTATTCAGGAGGCTGGCCAGGGTTGGTAGATGGATGGTGGGCTATGCCAGTGATGCCATGACTGAAGAGGGAAGGAAGGATGGGGTTGCCGTGAGTGACTGGAGCAGCGTTCATGACTTCTGACATTCCCAACACATTATTGCCAGGTGAGGCTTGAGCTTCTTGTGAATTCCCTGAAGAAGCAAAATTGGGTGAGAGAAAAAAAGGTGACAAGGGGAAAAGAGAGACCCAAGGATAAAACTGGGACTTGTTGCTGGTTAGGTGTTGGGTTTGGACATGCTGAAGGGCACTGTTCTAGTTCCAAAAAGCTTTGATGGAGTGCGATGCATAAACTCATCAAGGTGTGAGAGATACTTCCCACAGGGGACGGTCCTGCGATTTCCACGTCCCATTTCTATACTCTGCAAAGTTGGGTCACCTTCCATTTCCTAAAGCCAGGACTCAAGTCAAGTGCTGACCTAGCTGGGACCTGTCCAAGATCCTGTTTCTCTTGAGCACTGCAGACTGTTCTTGTCCAGAGGGCCAGAAACGCAACCACAGTGGTGACAAAGAGATGCAGGTGGTAGTAAGGAAAAGAAGAGGAGCAGGAAAAACAGCTGGTGGTAACAGAGGGAGAGGCACCGAAGAGGGGTGCCAACGGGGGGTGTCCTGCCCTTCAAAAGCTGAAGCCAGTCCAGGCCAAAGCAATTTTTAGTGGATATGGATTTTACAGAGAAGTGCGGGGCGGTGGGGGGGGGGGAGCTCAAGGATAAATGCTCATCTTCTCACCCAGATAGGTTTGCAAGACGCAAAACATTCTGAGAGATTTTAAGTAATATTTCATTTGCCCAGTTAAGGAAGCCTCTTCTATTGCAGTGAATATGTTTACAAGCCAGGTTCTTATGCCATTGTGGCATATCTGAGATCCCAGTAAATCCTGGTTCCAAAGGCTGTCATATTCTTACAGGAAATGGAAAGAAAGGCATCAAAGGCCAGGCACATTTTATTTTATACACATTGCAGATTTTTACACTGCCTTTCAGAGCGGTTTACAATAATTAAAACAAACCAAACAACAAACAAATCAAAACAGAAAAGTCTAAAGGGTCACCAGCAGGAATCACAGTGAAATCATTTGAAATGCAAAGATATGGAGACAAAAAGTCTGCAAAATAATAACAAAGGGTGTTTGCCTTGGTGCCTAATAATCACAACTCCTCTTTCTTGTGCATGAAGGTCTGAATCCAGATCAAGACCTCACATGCTTACTTTGGAGTCACTTGAAGTATTTAGAGCTAAATCTCTAGCACAGCTCTTTCATGGGACCCAGATTTGGGTAGATGTGTATACAAGAGATGTGGAAGTTGTTCAGTCTAAATTTCTGAGACAAGTCTTTGTGGTTCCATGTTGTGTTGCAAATGCTTTGCTGTGTCTGTGTTAACTTACACATCTGGTGTAGGGCTCTGAATTTCTTGCTTTAGCTGAACTTAACCCCTACAGGTTTACCCTCTTTGGTCTTGCAAGACTCCCATGCAAGTGCTTAGATGAATTATGCCTTACTTAGGAGTAAGTGAAAAGTTAGCAGTAGGAGAAAGAAAAGTAGAAGGTTAGTTGCATAAGTATATTAACATGTAGATCCTAAGAATAGCCATCTTAGACAAAACTGATGGAGACATGAACTCCATTCTGATGTGATGAATTATAAATACCAGGGTACCATTGATTTCTCCTTTGAATTTTGGGATTTGAACCTGCCTCAAGTCACATGGGCATCAACAAGGAATTTCTTAGCACATGGTAAGGAAAATGGCCCCTCACTACTGCAGCTTATATATATATATATATATTTCCGATTTATATCCTGCCTTTTTCCTACAAAGGACTCAAGGCAGCTTACATCATTCTCCTCCTCCATCTCATCCCCACAACAACAACCCTGCGAGGTAGGTTGGGCTGAGAGTCTGTGACTGGCCCAAAGTCACCCAGGTGGCCCCATGGCCGAGTCCCAGTCCCTTGCTCTTAAGCACTACACCACACTGGCTCTCTTATATGGTTGCTTTCCATACAGACAAAGAGACCTGAAGGGATACACTGGGACAAGCCCCCAACCAGGCATTGCCCAAATGACCAGATCTAGAAAAACAGGAGCTCCTTCACACCTTGGCTCAATCACAACAACAGGCACAAGGGCGCCTGTGAACAAAGCTGCAGTTCTAGTGTGCATGAGGGTCGAAGCACACCAGGGCTCCAATCCTGGATCAGCCCTGCCCACAACTGCATTTTGACTTCTTAAAATCCAGCCACACAATTACTACCTGTGTGAAGAACACCACATCTAGTTGAGCCAATGAGCTAGTGTTAAGGAAACTCAAAATTCAGGTTTGCACACATGGTGTAGCCTTGATTGTGCAGAGATATCAGTGGGCAGGACTGTGGGCTCCGGAAAATATACACATGTTGAAGCTGATCCTGTTTGTATTGCAGTATTCCCTATCAGCTTTAAATCTGCTGTCACCTGCTCTTTAAACAAGCTTACTTGTTTCCATTTTTGCATGGAGCAAATGTTCCTTGTAGGCGCATGGAGTGCTTTTTCTTATAATGTGGTTTTAGTGTCTCTCTAAAAGCCAGAGTGCAATTAAAGCATATTAAAGGCCTATCATGTTCAGGTTCTGAATCCATTGCTTTTACATTACATAAAAGTCTTTCCCATAAAAGGATCTGTTTTACAGTAATGCTAAAAATTACTCTTTTAAAATTATTACTGTTTTTAATTTGGGAATTGGCAGAACTAATTCTCCAGCCTTACTGATGGCAGGAGAGTCATACTGAGGAGAAATCTCATTATGAACAAACCATCGTGGTCACTCTGGACTTTCCCCAAGACAGGTTCACTTAATACCCTGCCTGTTTTACATTAGTTGTGCATTAGAACCACAGAAATCATTGGATGCTATCAAGAATTCCTGGCAGAACGTAGTTCAAGAATGGGAAGTCTTTGACATTCATCTGGCCAGGGCAGCTTATTTTATTCTACTGTATATATTTTAATTGTGATTGTTTTAATTTACTGTGTATTTTATTCGATGTTGTGAGCCGCCCCAAGGCTTCGGCAAGGGGCAGCATAGAAATGTTTTAATAAATAAATAAATACAATCTGTGGCATCGCAAATAACGGTCTGATGCGCGCTTTCCTTCTAAACATCCCCATGGCCAGACGGAGTCTAGTCGTGCGCTACAGCCCACTCGCTGAAGACACAAGGCCGGGTTGCTCGCTGCATCTCCTGTGTGTGAGAGTTCTTGTAAATTCTGCCCAAGTGGGACCATTGCCATAGCAGGGCATACGCCAGGGCAACTTATTTTATATTGTTATTTTTTGTATTTTCACTTTATGTTGTGAGCTGCCCCGAGGCTTCGGCAAATGGGGCGGCATAGAAATGTTTTAATAAATAAATAAATTAATAAGTAGCAGGAGAGGTCACCATCCATTAATACGGGAATAAAGGAAGACCACAATCACAGGCACAACTGGGAGAATGCCCTCTCCCTGAGCTGACGGCAGCGTCTGCGGAAGAAGGCAGATCATCCATGATGAGATGCAGCTGGGCGGGCATCTGAGACGGATGGCTTAGCGTGGAGTCCTGCATTGAGCGGGGCGCTGGACCCAATGGCCTTCTTGGCCCCTCTAACGCTACTAAACTATGATTTTATGACTGCATGCCATGATGCAGCCTATTTGCCAATAGCCCAAATTTCACCAGTAGTCCCACTTGTGATCTGGCCAGTGGTGCCAAGAGCAAATTCGGTTCGCCTGGTGCCAACGCTTCTTCCCTTTCGGTGTCAGGCAAAACCCTTTTTATTCTCCCAGTATTTTAATTGTTAATCTGTTTTATTTAGTGGTTTTATTTTAACATCGGATGCTGTGCAACTGTTCTTATTTTTATTCATTTTATTGTGCTAATTTGTTGTAAACCGTCCTGAGACGTCTGTGAGGGGATGCTATAGAAACGTTTCAAATAAATTAATAATAAATAAAATTTGAAGTCCAGATTCTCAACAGCCCTGCCTTCCATCCACAGTCAGTGTGAGAATCTCAGCTACGTTTCAAGACACCAGGAGGCTTGAGCAGGCTGGCACACGACATCAGCATCCCTGTGATAAAAAGGTCACATTGCTTTGACCTCGCATGGCTTGTCCCCACCGCACCACCGGAGTCGTGCATTGGTCATAGCAGAGTACTTGGAATGTCGGGAAAGAGGGACGGGACACTCGGAAACTGAATTTGCTATATATAGAATTTTCTGAATAATACATGACTCTGCGTGATTATGTACTCTCATTAATCAGTCTGTCTTTAAGGTTAATTAGATGCCCAATTATTGAAGGTCGCAACAGTCTCTTGGTTGGTATTTCGTTATTTCCTCCAAATGGCAGCCACAGTTTGGCAGGTAATCCGTGGGGAGACATTGTGGATATTTTCAGCTTTTAGGGACAGCAGGAAATATCAAAATGAAAAATAAATGTTTGCCTTACCTGTTGGCCATGATAAAACACAGCGAGCAGAAACATGGCCATGAGGAGCAAAGAGGCTTCCTTAGTTCCCAGGAAGTCTGTGCTAAGAAGAGAAAAAGAAGAACAGGGCTAGCCAAGTTTCCAGTCAAGCATATTTATTTATCTGTCTGTGTTCTTTATGGCACGGGAGATCTATGAATCATCCAAATAAAGGAAGGCTTTTTATCTTTGGTTGAAAAGTCACATGTTTCCCTTACAGAGAATTCAGAGTAAAAAAAAAAAGAAACTAAGCAAGGATAAATAAATTGAAGTTCACATTATATTACTGAAAACATATGCTTCGTAAAAGTATACGAATGGAGTGCATGATACAGATACTGCAGTCCATTTCCCCCCAGTTCGCTCCGACATAATTCATAATTTACTCAATAGGGGCAACTTTTCAGTAAATGGGCACGAGTCTGCAGTTTAAGTTCTTTGTTTCTGAGACTTTTGGTAACTGATGCACTCACTCTGATGCCCTAGTTCTTCAGCACTGGTATTGGTATTACACCTGAGGAATTTTAATGGGGTGGAACTCACCCTGTCCTGCTTCAGCACAGTTTTGTGCATGTCCAAATCACCAAAACTTTGAAGATTATTTAGTCAAAGCCGCCACTGTATGCACATTTGGTGTGTCTCTACTGCATGTCCTGAGGCTTCCTTTAGCCATTCCCGTGGGGTGACCAGTTGCAAAAACACAGCAGGGCTTCTATGCCTTCAAGAGGGCTGTAGAGCTGGACGTTTGAGCAGAGGTGGCTTGCATGACAAGGAACAGGTACAGAAATACCCAGATGCAGGATTCCTGTAGCCCTTTTGGTGATCCTCGTGATGCTGGGAAGGTGTATACATTTATTTATGTTGCGGCAAGCTAACTCCTTGGATAGGAGGGCAACCTCTGTTAAAGGTAGTCCATGTCCGGATGTGTTTTATGGTTAAAAGGGGGGTAGCATATTTTTACAAATGCATGCGTTTTACGCACTCATTATTTTCTGTTTTGCAGAATGCAGCACAAGTCCAGAAATGAATGGCTATGAATCACATCCAGTCCATGCTCATTTCTGAGTGGTGCAGATGGGAGCAATCCACGCAAAATACTGACAGAGTGGATTGATCATACATCGTGGAAGACCTAAGGAGAACTTTGCTGGAACATTCCAAGAATAGCTGACCAGCATAGATAGCCAATCTGCAATTCTCACACCATCTATTGCATAACGTGTACAATGAACAAATCCAGAGACAGCCGATGCCTCTTTCCTCAAATGTACCCGGCAGTGAGTAGAAAGGACTATGGACATGTAGCTGCAGGAATATGACACTTCCTAGACTCTCTAGTGCATGCGACACGGATGTTGTGTAATTCAAGGCACCAGAGAAGAATTCCAGAGAGATCTTGCTGCTGACCCAGTGTCCTTTCCCTCAAGGACAACCTCTGGAGCCCTCGGGGCCAATTTCTCCCCTTTGATCCCTGCCACAGGCCTCAATGTGTGGGACACTCGCATGCAAAGGGGTCAACATTTTGCATCAGGCAGCTCCATAGTGCGACAGAGCTCTGCAAAGGTTAAACAGAGCTTGCTTCCAAGCCAAATATAACCTTTTAGATGCTCTATAGCTGTTATGGACATCATTTAAATGTGGAGTGCATTGGGGATTGCACATCATGTGTTGTCTACTCCTGTTTTGGGTATTCCTGAAGATCGGAGGGAAGAGATGTGTTGGGACCATGAAACTAAAACCCGCAGTATAGGGTTCAATGGTGCAGGAAAAGGAAAAACATCTCTCTATCTAAAAAGAAGACTATTGCTGCTCTGTCTTCCCTGAATAGTATTCCCATTCTGGGGATGGTGGGAAGTTTAGCTTCTCTCAAACTTTGGCACCTGCTGTCTGGATCCCATCTCCATTTCCATGCTCAGATGACAATTGACATAGTTTTCTGACAGTAATAACAGTGCCACCTTGACACATCAAGTCAGCTGTGGTCTTGCTTTCCTACTTCGGGTTCCATAATAAGGTTGGCCTGTCTCATTTCTGCTCCATCCGTTTCCAGCTGACGAGATATTTCCGGCAGCACTTACAAATTATCTTGTCTAGATATGAGATGACTCAGGTACGGCTCTGCATTTCTCAAGGCTATTTTTACATTTGTTATTTGAAGATGTAAGAAAGGTCTGTTGCATAAGGACTTGTTTATATATATAATTGGTGGAATGGTAAAGCATTTCTTGGACTGCGCTACTTTGAGCAGCAGAATGCAAGTGGGTGGGAGGGGGGCAGGCTGTTCCATGCTGAAAACCTCCTTCCGCAATAAATTATCCCTCTGCACGTAGGAAAATGATGCACCGGGGGTTATGCAATCTTAGGGAATGTCCACCTGTCCATTTTAGTTTCTTTGAATTGCTCATTTTTCCAATACAAACCTCCTTTCATGGCAAACTTAGAGAATTAAAATAAATACATAAATTTAATGAACAAACAACCCAGTTTGTTTGAAAAAAAAATGTATGTGCATTCTCATGCATATTTCATAAATGCTATAATTTATACCTGCACAATCTTGGTGGCTATGTATCATAACTTGATGGAGTGGAAAGGCATTACAGGTAGATGATGGCTTTCCATTTTATTGAAAGTGGAATGCGCTTTATGTGAGGCTGCCTTTAAAGACCATTCAGAAGCTGCAGCTTGTGCAAAATATGATGGCCAGATTGATAACAGAGAAAAGAAGGTCCAAGGATGTTACACTGATTGTGGCCTTCTTGTACCTTTCTGAGCTCAGTTCAAGGAGCTGTTTTGGATCGATTCAGAATGTGATGTCTGATGGAATGTATAAAATACTAATCATCAAAGGCCCTACTCCAGGTGCGGGAGATCCAAACGTTAACAACAATGCAGAGGGCCTTCCTGGTGGTGGGCCCTTACTGTAGAACAATCTCCCAAGTGAGGACTGCCCTGTGCTAACACTGCTGTCCTTTCAGTGCAGATGAAGACTTTCTTTCTTCTTAAATACAAGCCCTAGCTTTCTTTTTGTTATAATTACTTGGATGTGTGTGTACACTGTCCGTTTTTCTGTATGCTTTTTGTATTGTGTACAGTATTGTATTTTTAAGGTTTTTAATCTGCGTAACACCCCCCCCCCAAAAAAACCCCTTTAGTTATTGGTTGTAAAAAAAGGTAACAAATGATTGGATGAAAGACAGGTGGCTGTCAGTGAAAATCAGATGGGATAACAATGGACAGAAATGTATTTTAGTGGAAATAATGAGCCATATGGGCAATGGATCCATTCCGAAGATTAACTGATCACAGAATTGGTGATCAATTTACCTTTGCCTGGTCTGAAATGGGAATGGGCGAATCTCTCCATTTTGGTTTCATTTAGGGTGCTCTCTGGTGCATCTGATCATCTATTGAAGGAGAAGGAGCATGGCAGAGGCCATCTTTGCTTCCTCTTCCTCCTGCCTTTCTTTTCTACCTGATGGAATTGTCGGTTCATTTACCTGGGACACTTCAGAAAGGGAGTGGGCGAGGATGCAGGTTGCTTGAGATAACATATAACATGGCTTCTCCAGTCTCCTTCCCTCCCTGTCCGCCAATTGTCAGAGGTGGTTCTTCCTATACTGGCCAAAAGGAGTCCCCTTTCAAGGTGGACCACTCTGTCCAACCTCAGCAGGAGGGATCTGTTCTCAGTATCCGACAGCTCCTCAAACAAGGTTCAGGGGTACAGGATTCTCCCCCATTTCTCATTTTTTCCTAATTTTAAACTGGTTTATTCCAAACACTAAATATTTTTCAAAGCTTAACTGTGGTTCATTCCAAACACTGAGCTTTTTTAAAAAAAGCTTGCAAATTTGTGGATTTTGGGCATTGGTGCTTCTAACACATGCATTTTGCATCCAATATTTTTGCAATTATTTTTCACAAATACCTGCAACGTGATGTGTACTTTCCCCTAAAACATTCATTTCTTTGGTACACCCTGGAGTACTTCATTACAGAAGGCGAAGTATAAATTTTGAAGGATGGCTGAGTTTTGGTTCACATATTGGCTTGAACACAAATGGGATGAGCTTCTCCCCCATCTCTGATAAGTCTTCAGTCTGGCATGATGGCAGAGAAGTTGCATTAGGAGATGGAGTAAAATATGGTGTCAGGGGAAAGTACATTGCTGCGGGCAACTATCATCCAGAAGGCTGAGTGCTGGGGAAATGAAAGTCATGTACGCGGAGGGCAAGTGTGGAGAGTGGATTTAATGAAGTTGGGCTGACTTTTGGCACTGCAAGCTGGAAGAATAGTTTGCCCAAGGCAAAGGTGGGGAGCCGTCTGGAACAACCCCACCCCCCAGCTTTCCGGGGCTGCAAATTTAAGGTACTGTGCTGAGCTCCGCTGCAAAATTCGTAATCAGTGGATTGCTGATTTGGCATCTCCCTGCCTATGAAGCTCAGCAATGTCTTATTCTGCAAAAGTTTTGTTTTGTGTCTGTGGGAGACCACAATGTCTCTTTAATAAGGGATTGTCTAATTTAGCAAACTGTTGGTGATGTGATACAATTAACGCTTCCTTTAAACACCTTCTTCGGTGTTGCCCAGCAGCTGCTTCTTTTTGGGAGGAAGTTATTACACAGATAAATTTTGTACTGGAACAGTCATTAATATTCACTGCTGTACACACTCTGTAAAATTATTTACCTGCTTCACGGGAATTAAAATCTGTTCCATGTCAGCACATTCCCTGTGCCCTTGAGAGCTAAAGCACTGTTATTACAACACTGGAAGAATAAACAGTCACCTTCTAATTGGTCTCGGCAATTATAGAAGGCCTATAAATATAAGTAAGTAAATAAGTAAAATAATTGGCAATGGACTGAGGAGTTTACAACCCATTCAGTATTTCAACAAGTGGCCTATCGAAGCCTCTGTGCCACAAATGGATACTGATTTTGATATCTGATCTGGTTGTGTCAAAGTCTATGTATAATTTTAGAAAGTTGCATGCATTTCACAGGAATTCAATTCTATGGATACAGATGAATCCATGTACTTATAACGATGGAACACAAACTAAAACTTTTGCAGATGTTTGTGGGTGCCATGCTGGGGACCGCTTCACAGATGCTCAGGGGAGCCTTGGTCTAGAGGGGGAGCAGGGCAGGGATAGGAGCTGCGAGGGGTAGAAGCCCTCGAAACTTCATTATAGGTAACATCCAGGCAATGATGCAGCACTGAATGGGACTCGGATAATATAGAAATTAAACTGGCAACATATTGTGTAGGAAGGAATGTGGGATTTTGAAGCTATCTTCTAAGGCGGGAATGTTATTTATACTTTCAGTGTTTGCTTCCATTTTCAAGTGCTAATTCCTGATATGCAAATTCCAGATGTTGAAGCAGGACTTGCACACACCCAAATTTTTCTCAGAACTGGCCTCCGTGACACAGAGAGCATTCCACCTTTCAGCCCCGTTCAACTATTTTGCAGTATGAACTGGTACTAAGCCATTACAAAGTACAGCAGTTCAGCAAACCCATGGAAGGGATCCTTGTGAGCCTTACAGTTCATCCTCAGGAGGGGAAAGAAGCACGTGGTCAGTGTTTAAAGCCCCAGGCAAACCTATTTTAAGTGAGTTTCAGGCCACTTTTGGAATAAACATGGGTAATGTAGTTCAACAGAAGAGTTACGCTTTCTTGAAGCTTATATACTAGAAACCCCAGTGTGTATATCTGTTCTAATTCCACTGCCCTAGGCCCATGAAATGCTTCTGCTAGACAGAAATGAAGATGCAGCAAGATGATTTTTATGTTCCTGAACCAGAGGATGTGGTTCCTGGTTGAAATCCTTTGAAACACACATCTCTTTCGTGCCATTCTGGAGCAGTTGCTTTTTACCTGCAAAGCTGCTGCACACCTGTTGCTGTGTAAAACTGATGGTGTTGCACTGCGGTGTGTGACTTGTAGTGTCTAAGAGGATGAAATGGGGTGCGACGGTTTAGAGCAAAAGGCCGTTACATTGTGAATAGACGGGACAAACGAAAAACAAGACTCTTCAGCCATGAGGAGCACCATTCCTAGTTTCTAATTTACAGCAAGATTCAAAGGCTTGTTCGTGGATATACTGAGGAATAAATTGGTGGCCGGGGGTAGGTGGGAAAGGCATTAATGAGTCTGTTCAAAGCGTTTTCTGCAGTCACTGTTGTATATCTTACAGTAAGCTGAAATATAGCAATTTCTGGAAAAAATAATCACAGTGGATTGCACTGTTGTTATTGTTGTTATTGTTCTTGCATTGCATTTATATCCCACCTTTTCTCCTCTTGTGAGGAACCCAAGGTGGCTTACATAGCTCCATTTTATTCTTACAACAACAACCCTGTGAGGTAGGTTAGGCTGAAAGTCAGTGACTGGGCCAAAGTCATGCAGTGAGCTTCATGGCCAAGGGGGACTAGCACCTGGATCTCCAAGAACCGTTGCCCAACACTCTAACCACTAAACCACACTGCCTTAAACAAAGCGTTGTGGTTTTCATGAATGTTGTCAGTGGTGCCTGGGATTATCAGAAGGGCTATGGGTGAACTGGCCTCAAGGCACAATAGGATAAAGCCAAGTGGGGGAAAGGAAGGAGCAGGAAGGGCAGTAGAACAGAGAAAGGCACTGTATTTCAAGGAGACGGGTGGTTTGCTGCCATTTCTCCCTTCATACCCGCATCTTCTTTTAGGCCTGGATCCTTAAAGAGATCACGGCATGCCTTCTAATTAAGGTAATTAAGTGCAGGCTCGAGCTCATTTCAAATATACTGTCTGCTCACGAAGAAGGCTTTGAAGTTCTGGGAAGGGAGCATCCACTGGCCATCTGGGTTGGCCTTGGTAAGGTTAAGTTGAGGACCTTGGAGCAACGGAAGGGCTTCTCAAACCTGCTAACTATACTCAGAACAAGAGATGATTAACAGAGAGCATCTCTGCTTTTGCTTTATGCTTAATACTTCAAATCAAACCCTCTTGTTTTGTTTAGTTAAACACTGTTCTTTTGCCCCAGATGTCGAAACATTATGCTTTTGCTCCCTGCCTCATGATTTAATAAGGGCCTTTTGCCTTCACGGAATTTATTGGCCTATTTGTGTGACCGTGGCCCTTTGGTGGCACAGTCGGATGCTTGCATGCACCTCCAGCCGAGAGCATCTCCCCTCCTCCGGCTATGGGCTGGCTTGCTGGGGCTGCTGGAGGCAGAAGTTACGGCAGTGCTTCCATTCTGCTGAGACTGTGTCCCGTGAGCTGCTGAATTATGCCTGCTGTGCAGCTGAGAAGGCCTTGTGGGAAAGTAATTCAAGACAGCCTAAAGCAGCTTTCCACAAACTGCCCCATTCTAGATGCTTCAGGCTGCAACTCCCATTGCACCCAATCAATTGGCCTTGCTGGCTGGGGCTGATGGGCATTGTAGTCCAACTCATTCGGAGGATACCAGTTCTAAAGTCCACCTAAAAGGAGGAGCTGCTCAAAGATTCCAAAATCTTTCCATTGTTAAAACATCACTTTGCAGACTGAAGCATCAGGCCCTCTGAGGAACGCAGGCAAGGACCGCCAAACAGATCCAAATCACAGAGAACTGGCAGAACAGTGATGGATTTTGTGGTAAACAATTTTGAAGGAAAATGTTCTTGCTATGCGCTATGTGTTCTGAAAAGGGAGCCCTATCTTTGAGCAGTGTCTTCATTCAGTGTCTTTAACGATTCCCCCCGTCGGGCTCCTAAAAACAAGGCACGGTTAAGTGGCATTGAACACTTACTCTCCGTTATGATTGATATCATCGTAGTGCAGAAACAGGGAGGCATAAATGGTCTCGGTCAGGAAGCAGTAGATTGCAATCATAATGAGCAGCACGGCCAGCTTGAGGACAGAATTCAGGCGGAGAAACACGGCGCAGGTCACCATCGCCAGGATACCAGTAAAGACGAAATACTGAGCAAAAAGGATGGGGAGGAAGGATCACTCGTCAGCACTGGCTGGCTGCCCTAGCTCAGGCTTCATCCTTGGTTGGAACATAAGAAAAACTCTGCAGGATCAGACTCATGGTCCATCCAGGCCAGCAGGCAGTTCCCACGGCGGCAACCCAGCTGCCCACCAAATCCCAATGGGTACAAGAGTCCCCTGACCAACTCCTCTCTGATAATAGGGCGCCCATAGCTCCTTGCCAGCTTCCCTCACCACATCTACTTATTCCGACATGTTTATCCCACCCTTCCTCCAAGAAGCTTCCTACAGCACACCTGGCCAGTTCACCTGTGAGGCAGGTGCTGCAGAGAGACAGCAAGGGTCCCAAGATCATCCAGTAAGCTCTGTGCCTGAGGATGTCCTGTGCTAGTCTTCCCAACCCAGTGCCCACCAAAGGTGTGACAGTGGAGCTCACATTACTCCCAGACAAATGTAAGATGGGAGTTGTAGTCCAACACAGGTGGAAGGCTCCAGGTTGGTGGGAGGCTTAAAAGTCAGGACTGTCTCTATTCTACTACCCTGATTCTCAGTAAATTGACTGTATTGACAAAAGGGAAAAAAAGCTAAGCTTTCTCATCCCCAAGAGGCTCCTGATGTAGAACCTAGCATTACAAATAGGGCCAGGCCTAAAGAGCTTTTAAGATATGTTTTTGTTTTTGGAGCTGGAGAAATTCAGCTGCAATAGGCACAATTTCTGTAAAGTTCAGCCGCAATTTGCATAACTTGCAATTGAATTTTGCACAGATTTCTCTGGCTTGAAAAGAAGCAAAGTAAAGCAAATTGCAACCTGCAAAAGACCATTGTAAGCAAATCACTGTTATTCAGCAATCAAACCTCGAGCAACTCTCCCCCCGCTCATGCACGTATTGTGCCTCTATCAGTTCTTTGGTCTGAAATGATGCTGGCTGCGCTGAAACCTTGCCTGCCCTTTCACAGTCTCCTCATTGCCCTGTGAAAAGGATGATCATTTTCATTGGGCTGCTGAGAATGTTGCAGACGTTTCTCAGAGTCCATGGCTTCAGTGCTTACTTTACTGTAAAGACATGACTGGTGTGTGTACCTGTGGGTGCGTGCATATGTCTGTGCTCTTTATTTTACTATTTTTCTCCTTTTATCCTTGCAGTGTCTCCAGGCAGCACTCCAAGGACAACAGCACTGGAATGCCCCAAGCGGGGATGGCCTGGCTAATCCCTTTGCATGAAGTTTAAGTCCTGCTGCAAGGACAGAACAGGGAGGGAAATGGGAGAAGGAAGAGCCCCCATGCTAACAACCTCCTTAGAATAAAAGGGAAACATCGAAACTCTGCAACCAGGGGAATTTTTCCAGAATCTCACTTCCTCCCACCATTTCTGGGTGCAGTTTTGTCCCCCCCTCTCCTCATGTACTGTCATGAAGAACTAGATCAAAATAGATTAAAAAATTCAGTATAGTGCTACTGTGAATGTGCTAGTGACCCCATTTCAAAAATTTTTCAGCTTTACTTAAAAAAAAATCATGGCGGTTGTGTGTCTCTCTCGACAAGGCACAGCTTGCACTCTGTAGGCCAAGAGTGGGCACGACGCAGACCATGGGCAGCGGGCAGGCTCCACACTGCCTCTTGTGTTGCCCCATCAGTGGCAATGGCAGAAAGGTGGTTGCTTTGACAGCTGCAGAAGCCCAAAACAGGGGAGTGTTGCCTAGAAGAAGCCGCGGTCGTGTGCCCCGTGTAAAAACATCTCAGGAGCTCCTCAAAGTTGCCCACCTCTGTTGTAATTCTTCCTAGATGCTGACCACAAAAATACTCCAGCTGGTACAGTTCCCCTACTCCCTGACCACTGGCTATCTGGTTGGGGCTGATGGGCAGTGTAATCTGGAAGAGCTGGAGAGCACCGGTTTGGGGACAGAAATGAAATGTGCTTTGATCCTGGAATGGCCATTCTCGGGCTTACTCCAGCATTTTGAAATGGAAACTAGTTGACTCAGTCTATAATCATCTCTCGGTTCTCTACAGCCTAATTCAGCGGCTCTGTATGCCTGGGGAAACACCAAAATGCCTTCTTTTATTTCATTCTTGGAGTCAATGTTAATTCTCACTGCACTTGTGGTCTCATTGCACATGTGGTCAAGATCCAGTTGGGATGCACGGTCTATTTGAAACAAATGTTGCATTTCATTAATGCTCAGAATTACCTCTGGATAGGAGCAAATATCTGCCAAATGGACAGAAGAGTTGAACGTCTGATTCTTGAAGGGCATCGGTTTGTCAAAATCACACCATAGCTGTGGATAAAGAATGGAAACCAGTTAGTGCTACAATTGGGTTGGGAGTGTGTTTATCAGGATGAGAAGGAAGAGCTTTGATAGTGTGAACCCCTCTAACCCTGGAATAAAGGGCCCCCAAGAAGTGCAGAGTAGTTGTCCTAGTTTTCCGCAGACACACACCCTTAGCTATGCATCTAATTTGGCTCTCTCAAGGGATGGCGAATCCAAACCCCCAGAATTCCAGCATTTCTGTCTGAAGAATTTGAGCTTTCAATAGCCAGGGCCATCAAAAGCACAAGCCCTTAGCAATAAACAGCATTGTTGTCTAGTAATCTAATCAGAAATGATTTCTGTTTTCATGAGTTCTTGAGAAGGCATACAAGCCTGACTCAGCTTGGTCAGAAGGATTCAGAAGGATTGGACTACAACTCCCAGAATGCTGGGTGCAGAATACTGAAATCAGAGAACAGTAGTTGGAAGACGTACATCGGGTCCAGCCCCCTGCTGCTGCAGGTCACCAATTTACACCATCCCACTCAGATGGCTGTCCAGTTTCACCTTGAATGGTTCTAGTGTGGGAGAGCCCATGACCTCTCTAGGCAGCTGCTTCCACTGTTGCATTGCTCTGATGGCGAGGAAATTTTTCCTGATGTCCTGTCTGAATCTGGGTTGTCACAATGTGAGTGGATTATTCTGTGACCTGTACTCTGGTATGAGTGAGAAGAGATCCTGACCTCTTTCTTTGTGATAGTCTTTGAGGTCCCTATAAAGTGATATTATGTCCCCATGAATCTTCTCTTCTCAAGGCTGAACATGCCCAGTTCTTTCAGAGCCTCCTCATAGGGCAGTGTTTCCAAATTGCAGCCCAGAACATTTGTATGGGGAAAATAGACCTCTTGGTCATCACTGCTGATTGCACAGAGCTGGAAAGAGCACTATATTGAGCAGAATAGAGCTACAATGTTGTTTTTCTCAAAAAGGGAAGATTATCTTCGCAAGGGACAGATCAGCCCATATGCGAGCCCATTCTTCTTTAAACAGCAGACTGAATTCCCTGATGCTTGACAGCTCTGACTTTTTGCAGGTCTATATTTAAATCCTCTGTGTTATACAAATACTGCTACTGCAGCTGAGAAAACCATCAGTCTCAATCATTCACAAATCCTTTCACTCTCTCCCGCCCCTCTAAGTGCAGAACAAGACATTCCCCTGTCCCCCTGGGTGCTTACAATATTGATGATCGCTCCCAGAAAATTAATCAGGATTGAGGCAAAGATGATGACGTTTCGGGCCAAGTAGGTCTCATTAATCCAGCAGCAAGTTTTCCGGAGAACAAGGGGCAAACATTTATAATCCTCTGCCGTGGTGATCAACACAAGAGCTGAATGCAGCATAATCAGAATCGAAAACTGAATGATCATTGGAATCATCCTGCGGAAGGGGAAGAAAAGACACATTTAGACATGATTGTGAAACAGGCTTGGACTGCTTTTCACAGCGGGGTGTTGAGCCCTATTTATCTTGGAGGGTGGAATCTAGCAGGACATATTATTCCATCGGTTCCCTTCCACCGTGCTGATTGTTTCATGCACACAGATCCCACCACTTGTGCATGGACAATTTAGTCTTTCAGGACAACGTGAAACAAATGGAAATGCTTGTTTCTGGAAGGATGCAGGTTGATGGAACTCACATCCAGGACCTCTTGACCTGCGATGTTCCAGAAACAAGCTTTTCGGATAATTGGGGGCTTCCCTTAGGAAGCATTATATTTCCATAATCAGCAGCAATGCGAGCTGCAGGATCCCTTGCCTGTGAAGGAGAACTGGCAGGCTGGAAAAGAAGTGGAAGGCACCCTGCAGGAGGAACGGATTTTTGGAGATGCTCTGGAGGGAGCGTTCTAGTCATGGATGGGACCCGGACAGAGGCAAGAGGCAGGAGGCAAAGGGGGTGAGGCCAAAAGACGAGCATTTTTTACCTCTAAGAACTCATTGCCACTCACTGAGCCTTTCAACTTTTGGGGAAGATGAACAATGCACAAAAGCCAGGCAATTACCAAATGCTTATAGGTCAGAGGAGCAGGGGTGAGTCCATTTAGGGTCTCTGGAAGGCTAGATGTCTAGGTGAGCTGGATTTAGCCCACAGGGCTGTAGTTCAACACTTCCATTTTTACAGGGTGGCATTGAAAAAAAAATCCAGCATGTGTAAGATGACACAGCTGTATATTTTTCAATGATTGTTCCTTTCCCTCTTCTCTCTAAGAGTTTCACTCATGCCTATGTAGAGGTTGATGGGAGTTGTAGTCCAAATCATTTGGAGGCGGCTAGCTCATTTGCTGCTGGCCTACACTAACCAAGTTTATGTACATATAAAGGAAGGCAGATTCTCCCCATTTGCCCAGTTTGGCTTTTGGATTGTAAGCACCATGTTTTCTTGTAGTTTGGAAACTCTTATACATATTGACTGTATGGAAAGAAGGGAGGGAGGGAAGGAGGAAAGGAGGAAAAAAGCCTTCACCCTGGCTCAAGCCATTCAGTACTCCACAGTACTGTTCTATGGAAATCTTTGCATTTACCTTGAAGAAGGAAGTAAACTTTGGATTGCAGTGATAAAGATGAGGACAATGAACGCACACACCAGGTTCGACTTAAACACTTCGTCCCTCATTTGGGAATACTGAAATAGAAAACAGTATATAAAGGAGAAAATAACTTTAGTCTTATTTGACAGCCATGAAAAAGTGAGCAAGACAGTTTTATGAGGCTTCTGAGAAATTAGTAAGAAGATCCAGTAAATTAACTTGCTTCCTGCAGTGAGATTAAAAAAAAACATATATGGGGAAGAATCCTTTCAGATGAAATCTACTGTGAAGGAGCTTATAAAGCAAGTCATTCCATCTTGCAACTGACTTGTGCTTCATCATATAATTGGCTGGAGTGCAGTTTCAAAACCTGGGAGGTTCCCCCCACTCAGGTCTGAGGGAGAGGGGGTACAGAAATGTTGGGGTGACTGAATGGAAAGTGATGCAAGAAAAAGTGAAGGGACACACATCGTGAAATGTCTAGAGGTGGGTAGTTGTGAGGTGACTTTCTCGGAAAGCAAATTTTTAACCTGTATTAAAAGAGGGAGCTCCATGGATTTTTAAGAAATATTATCCTGCCTCAGAAGCTTTGTGACTAACCCGGGGATGCAGTCACAAAAATATTAAGATGAAGAATATTATTAAGCTGGAGTTGACCAAAAGCCATCTAACAACAAAATCCTTGTTCCATCATTGGGCTGGATTCAGGTTGTATCTAGCAGTGATGTCTCTTCTCCCCACCACTCCGACTTTACTCTAGAGTAGACACAGAGGCCCTGATGCAGTTTGGTACCCTAGTTTAGATGGTAAGGTGAGATTTTAAGTTGCAGGCTGAGATGTGCACCCTCAGTAAAAATGAAATAGAAAAAGAAAAACAGATTTAAACTAATGATTATTTGGAGCCTTAAGAAACTTCTTTTATCATGCAATTGCCCTTTATCATTCTTGGAGTTTTACATGAGGTCCCAAACTCAGTGTCTTCTACTTGTATCCCTCCTGTGTTTTCCAACCACAACTCTTGTGTGTTTTTCCCCCACTAAAAGGAAGAAAAGGCAGAATAGCTACACAACATCTTCTAATTGCTGCCATCTGTCTGTAAGACCGAGTCAGCTACCGTCTGAACTCAGCAGGACTCGAGTTAGTCATTTGTCCCTTCCAATACTGATTGCAACAGGACTGGTGTGTGACGAAGGCAGTCACAGCCTGACTGCTGCTCAGCCAAACGTCTTTGGGAAGCTCACAGGCACAGCATGAAGGGAAGTGCTGGAATAAGCAACAGACATTAGTTAAATCCACTGCATGGAGGGGGGAATAGCTGACTGAAAGCTGCGAAGTGAGCAATCCTATGGTTGCTGGGCAAGTATCCCAGGGACTAGGGGATGGCTTGGGCCATCCGTTTCAAGATGGGAGGCAGGGCTCCAGCCTTGGAAGAGGAGTCCGAGGTCCACTGACCTCTCCCGCAACGCCATCATGGAGAGAACCAGGCCAGATGGAAACATTTCTGCAGAGGCCTCCCTGGTGTCTGAAAATGGATCCTGGAGGAATGTGCCTGTGGGCAAGGATGGGAGGAGCCCACAGATGCCAACATGTGAGGGACCTGAGCCTTCTCCAGTTTCCTCACCTCCCAAGTGCCCTTCTAGACAATCTGCAGAGTTTGCCCCGCCAGGAAAAAAATGGAGATCAAAGACAAATAGGGAAAAGGGGGGCTCTGCGTGCTGGCTGCAGCTTAGCAGGACACAGACATTTTGGGAAACTCAGTTCAGGGGCTTCCGGGCAGCAAGGACACCATCTGTGCAAACACTCCCAAAGTCATTCATGCCTTTGGGCAGTTGGGTGCTGGTTTTGCTTTCACTTTTGTTTGCTTAGTTTGTCTATTTTAATTGCAACAAGAAGATGCATGTTCATATTATTATATATTATGTATTATTATATTTCTATCCCACCCTTTGTCCTTTCAAGAAGCTCAGAGGGGTTTATATAATGCTCTCGCTCCTCTCAGTCTTATCCATACAGCAAAATCCCTGTGAGGTAGGTTGGGCTGAGAGTCTGCGATTGGGCCAAAGTCACCCAGCGGGCCTTGTTTAAAACTTGCAGATACCTTCTGTGTAAAGCATGGTCAGAAAAAACTCTGCCATAGGAAGATATCTGCATCCATAATCATGCCACCCTCATATGTATTTGTATTATATTTATTTATTAACTGTATTTATTATAATTATTCATTTGTGTGACCATCCCGAGGCTATATAGCAAGGGGATGGCATATAAAAACTTTAAATAAATAAATAAATAATAAATAATATGTGAAAGCTACTTTTAGTGATTGTGGCTAATTTCTATTGATAAGTTTATCTTTTCTGAAATTATACAACATTCACCTTGTTCTGATTTTCTTTCTTTTTTTACCATCTTAGCTACCAGCAAGCTTATGAAATTTTGCGGCACTGAACTGAATATATTCATTGTGTTTTCTCTGAAGTACTTCCTTGCATCTGTTTTCTCTCTGATCACAGCCAGATTCACTAGGTAACCCTGCATTCTAAATATATCCATCCTCTCTTTCTACACTGTTCATAATGGCATGCTCCTTTCTCACATCATCCTTCTGAACTCCTGGGTTGCCCTTTTTGTATCTTTTCCACATGGGACACAGCACATCTACGCATGTATTGATTGAGTGATCCATTCCATTCCTTTCCACCCTGTTTCCTACGAGGAAACCAAGGCGCTACGCTTAACTCTCCTCTTCAGCTCTCCAAGAATAACCTTGTAGGGTAGGTCAGGCTGAGAGACAGTGACTGGTCCACAGTCAACCACATTGACAGAGGTGATTCTCTGGCCACAGTGGTTAGAACAAGAACAGCTGTGGTCATTCAATTCATGGCTGGGGACCAGCGTGTGTCAAGAGACCTATATTGGGTAAAGTGTTCCTTCCTTCCTCTGGCAAGGGTTTACAGCACCTGAAAGAGGTTGGCGTTATCTTTAAAAGCTCAGGAGCCCTCTTTCCATCCATCCAACCATAATGGCAAATGCCATGGGGCTGTAGTTTCTGCTTCCTAATGACATATCACTGCACAGCCTGTTTTCCACATTTCCCTGGAAAATTCAACACAGACTATGACAAACCAGCTACACATATTGCACAAGGGCCCAATCTGGCTGTTCCCTAAGCTCTTCACATTTCATTTCTTCTAAAATACCATTTTGAATGTTTGCAGCATCTGCAGTAGACAAAATCATAGAAATGGTGAGGTTGCAGTATCATCTCACGCTCTTCCACTGGGAAGAGCTTGGGTGATGCTTCCGGTCCTCATGGATCTTCTTTGTGTTTTACACATCTGCCCTTTCTACTAGGTTCTAATCGTTGACCCCCCACCAGTCAACCAGAGCTGGACAAATTGCTGTTGGACTGCAACTCCCAGTGAAGGAAGACAGTGCTGCAGGCCAGGGAACTACAAGTCGCCATCCCTGCAATAGACGGCAGCTCCTTCATCTCTTTCGCCTATATTTATTCCACTATCACTCGCAGTTGGCCTGGAGAACCTGTCAGTCAAGACCTGAGCTCATCCCCAGGCCCTGAACCTGGAACTTCGTGATGTGTCAATCCAAGATTCATCCTGGCTCCACCACTGGGCCAGGTATCACACCACCAGAAGCTGGACAGGTGACATCAACGAATGTGCTTTCTATAGGAATGTCCAAGGTAGGCATCTTCTAAAGCAGCTCATTCCCTCGGAAGAAATCATGTAGCAGCACAGCTTTGGCACTGTTTTGATGTGGTGAGGCAGGGCAGGGCGGGTGGTGAGGACGAGCTACAGGGAATGAACCTTTTTCTAGACCTGATGCAACATGGGGCTGACCCAGGAAATTTACTGGGCAGAACTTTACCCTCCAGTCATTTCTCTGTGAGGAAAATTGTCATTTGCTGCATTTCTCCATGCCAGGCTGCTGCCAGGGAGGGGAGCAGAGCTGAGGGTGGGGACTGAAAGGTGGCAGCCTAAACAGAACAACACGGTAGAATTGCCCGGCACTGAAAGCTTCGTGAAAGGGGTCCACATAGTAAGCATCAGGTGATCTCAGGTCCTCACCTGCCTCTGATAGGCAAATATTGCACTGATGTAAAAATAACTCAGCATCAATGAAATCTGTTCTATTATAGCATTCCAGACAGCCAGGCAATCAGCTGGTATTTACAATTCATCATTTAAACATGCATATACATAGACAGTATAATCTAGCTGCTAGAAATTCAGCTGGAGTTATACAAGAAAGCAGGGGAATTAGATGAACTGCAGTGTGAAGAGGTTGGAAGCCATAATCAATTCCCCAAAAAACCGTTATTTGATTTTCTTCAGGCCTCCTTTACCTATTAAGAGTGCTTCACTCTGTTTCCAGTATTTTACAAATAATGGGATTACAGGGCCAGGGTGCACTTCCAGTACAGCCAAGAGTGTCCGACTGACAATAAGGGCTGCCTTCTGACAAAGAAAGCCATCCAGAAGACATTGCTAGGAACTGGGATAGAGAGGGAGGTTCTGTCCTACAAAAGCTTCTACAAAAGCCCTGTGTGTCCACTCCGTGCTGCCTTTGGCTGCTCACGTCTCCTCTCCAAGCAAGGAGAGGGCACATGGGCCTACATTCGCTTTGGCCCTCCCTCTTCATGGTCTTGCAGGTTAAGCCCAAAGAGAAAGAGCAAATGGACAGATACAGCAGCAAGGAAGAGGGGTATCCTTCCAAGCAGCATCCCACTGAAGGGGTCTTGTTCAGGGTCTTCCGAAACCTGAAGCTGGCACTGCTCTGGGACCCAGAAGCCCAGCACAGAGACCTGCTTTTCCACAGGGCAGGGCAGCCTCATCTGCATGAGCCAGCATTCAGAGAATCTGGCTTCGGGTCATTTCCAGGAGACAAGGTTGCTTGAACCGAATCACTCCTAGCCAGGAGCCTATGAACTCCTTTTGCTTGCACGAGGAAGAATTTAGTCCCTCAGTGCTTTGAGCAGACTCCGTCCTGAGTGCTGTTGCAGGAGGACCCGCCTCTTTCTCCAAGGAGAAGAAAGGTGGTTCCTCTACCTTCCAAACTCTGTGGCATATCTCAG